TGACGATTAATGAAATCAAATCACTGCTCCCATTATCAATTCATTTACACAAAACTATCTTGTAATGTGCCATAACTTTTGAAATATCACGAGTAATTGCTTAGTCTTGTACTTTTTACAGTAAATTGTTACGTAGGGAAGATATTGCTGAGAAAAATTTTATAAAAAATCAGACGAAGATTTTTTTAATGCTTGATAGGAAATATATACTATCCATAAAAAAAAAAAAAACATAATGATCACATATTGTTATGAAACAATTTATCTTATTCTCATTTCCTTAATATTTTAATTCAAATGAATGGTATGCCACTTACGTATGAAAAATTAGAAAATATTCTTTAAAAACGCTTTTAATTGAAGGTTAGTTATTGAAAACTTTGATTCTTTCGGCTGCTTGGAAACGAGCTTCGCAAAAAAAAACAAAATAGTAAAAAATAGTAATAAACAAAAGAACCCAAAAATTTCTTACTTTCATTATTTAACAAAAGTTTGTGAAGATACTTAACTGTCTGTGCAATGCTTTTTTTTTTTCTTTTCAATATCTCCCCTAATTTTAAACAAATCTCATTGAAAGATTTTTTTCGATTCTGTAATAGATGTTGTCTACTTATCCCCTATTAAAATTGGCATACAACGAATTTTCCATTTTTTCTCCCTTCAACTCTTTGCGAGCTAGGTGCCCACCTAATCATTGCTGCAAATTTTTTAATTTTTCCATCCCCAACTCTCTCGTTTTTCTTTATTTTTCTAGGAGTGTTGATCTTTGGGCCTGGTCTGGATTGGTTTTAGCTTCGTAGATGCCAACTTTATTGTTAAATCCGGTGCTACTCTATGCTTTATGAATTAGGGTGCCTTTAGAAAATTCACCCTCCTCATCATTTCAAAATATAAAAAAGAAAAAGAATATTCGTCCTCATTAAAATATCTCGATAAACTTAGTTAACTGAAGTTAAAAATACCAGTTTGGACTATGCGTATTTAGAGCAGTAAAAATATGCATATGTATTTACAAACATCGATGGGAGTTTCAGAAAAACTGTATCATGCGATTTGTCGCACGTAATGCAAATAATATGAGCAGTGAAAAAAAAAAGAAAAAAAGAGTGAATTTCTTCTACTTCATCTTACGAACCCTTTTCACTTTGAGAGTGCAGCATTCCGCGCCCAAGTGAAAATAAAAACCCGCTTCCTATCTGATTAATAAGGCCAACCATGAAAAGAACGTGGGACGCGATGCAAGTTTGTAATACAAATTTTCCGTTTCTCAATCAGCTGTCTTTATTTTGTGGCTGCATCAAATACAGGCCGCAGTGGCTGGGACAGCTAGGGCTCAAAATTCACCAAACGAAAAAAAAAAAAAAAAAAAAAAAGTAACGTGGAAATTTTCCCGCGAGTCACACGCACATACAAAGATTTTTATTCACGATTTTATGCATGTATGCAAAATCGATGTGTGCGCAGAGCATAGAAGCTCCACCCGCATGGAAAGCGACGGCGGCCAACAAAAAACTCGTTCCTCTCACCGGGGCAAATATTTCTCTTTTTCATTTACACGGTTTCCGAGCCTCTCATCTACCGTACACGTATACGTGTGGGATACGCTAACGGTGAATGCTCGGCTGGTGTCTTTTTTTTCCTTCGTGTGCGAAAAAAAGACAGAATTGACTATAGGCTCGAGTAAAATGAAGAGGAGAACTAAAAAAAAGGGGGGGAGGTGAATAGACTCGGGAGTGGAAAAAAATTGAGAGGGCAAAGCGAACGAAAAATTTAATAGAACTGTCGATGTGCATGAAATAGGACGCTGTTGGGCGGGCTTGGATTGGAGGGACGAATAGGTGGAAAAAGTACGAATCGGAAACAAGGGAAGCGATCCGGTTGTGATGTGTAAAAATAAAAATGATACATCTTCAGTATGAGCACTTTGGCGTTTAAAAATCATGGACACTACCGCATGAAGTGGTAAAATTGTGGCAGGATATTCAATACTATATATTTACATTTAATCTTATAGATTTGATTCAAAAATTTATTGAAATAAAGTAATTTACGAACTATTAGTTTTAAAAATCAATATACTGCTCAGTTAACAGTTGAACCGATTCACAAATCATTATAATTCGTAGTGATTTAAAAATAACTTGATTCACATGTTTTAGTTATTAAAATCATGAGTCTACACAACAATGGAAAATATGGTTAAAAGCCTCGTTGAATTTAACATTAGTTCATGAAAGGTTTTAACTCAGTTTTAGGCCATTGATTGAAATCTACATCCACTGGCAATATCATCATGGACTACAGTATCTCATGATAGCAGTACAACCAGGTTTGAAAAAAATCTCGATAAAAAATTACAGAGTTTCTTCATCATGGCCATCATGAAATGATTATCTTTCGTTTCAACTAAAAAATGTACAGCGGAAAAGGAAAAGGAAGGTTGAGATGAAAAATTCTATGGTCTACGCTCGAGCTAAAAAAATATAGAAACGCCCGCTCGAGAGGAAAGATGCAGAAAGAACCAGTGAGCACGCAAAAAGAGAAAAACAGGTAAAAAAAAAAAAAAAAGTGAGAAAAAGTGCAGTGGAAAGATAAAGGAAATTAAGAAGAAGAAGAAGAAGAGAGGAGTAAGATATAGATCGTAGACGGGAGAGCACGGAGAGTCGAAAGAGCTCGCGGATGCTGCGAGAAAAGAGATGTGTATACAGCATCAGTAGCCGAGAAGAAGAAGAAGAAGGTTGACAGAGGGAGAGAGAGAGAGTGAAGGGTAAAGGGGAGTGTGTCCCGAGATCAATACCGAAGTCGCTAGGCAACGAGCCTCCGGCGCGAGCGAGCGGTCCGGGTAGACAGGGTGCCGCCACCCCTGCCCCTAGCCCCCTCGCCCTCTAAACGAGGAGAGCCACCACCCACCTCGCCGGAGCTTTGGCGTATACACGCCTATTTCTATCTCTCTCCCTCTTTTTTCTCTAACACTCTGCTACTCTCACGTGTGCGTGCAGACCGTCTCGTTCCGTTTGCACCTACGGCCATGCATATAGACCGACACGCTGCGTGTTATTTTTCTCTCCCCATTTTTTTGTTCTCTTGTTGCCGTTCGGGAGAAAAAAAAAGATAAGTACGAGGGATATGGTCGTTTCGAATATTTCAAATTCTGCCAGGGGGGGGGGGAGTAGAAAGCTCCTGGTCCCGTCTTGGTCCTACTTATTAGTTTTTTTTTTTTCCCCGTTCGGCTCTCGATGCGTGTTGTTTTCGTTCGTATGGCCCTCACGTGGTACACAGCAACTGGAATAACGAGTGGGATTTCCTAAGCTCGATTGCGGGCATAGAAATTCTGGTGTAATCCAGTGGCCGAGGGGTAAAGAGTACGGGGAGCCAACTTTTTACAAGCAATGGAAGAAAAATAAACCGTTTACTACGCGGGAATTCCCGGCGTTGTTCGGGCTTGATTTTTTCGTTTTTTCGGCAGTTACGTACTGCGCTTGCTTCAAACTTCTACTCGAACTAGGACGAAAATCTATTCACCCGTGATTCTCGAGTGAAGTTTTTTCTTCCCCCGTTGCGGGCTTAACCCTAACGCGTACCAGCTTTTTGTTTTTTTTTTTTTTTATAAAAAAAAAAAGCTTGAGTCGGTCTTTCCACGTGCGAGTGAGGGAGCTTCCAAAGCCAGATGGGGACAAAAAGTAGTGGCACGATAACGAGTGATTTAAGGGGCAGCATCGCGAGTTCAGCTCTCCCGTAGAATTGAAGATTGAATTTTTTAAGTACAAGTGGAGTGACGCACGGCTAGGAAGACAATCTTTTTTCTGTCTTTCGCCCTGTTTCGCGGGAAAGTGGTCCCGGAAAGTTGGGAGGAAAACCTTTGGCAAAGTGGATCCGACTTCGAAAGAGAGTCGAAAACGGAAGCTGGTAGCTCTTTTCGGATGCGAGAATGGGCCATTGCGTCACTGGAACGGCCTCTATTGTGTCGCGCGTACTCGGGGATTTTTATCACGAGTGATCGGGAGCGAGAAAATTTACATTAAACGTAATTGTTTCGAGAGCCAGTGGTTTTTCGTTCCTTTTTGATATTGCGAATAATTCATGGTGATCGCTTTTCCACGATGTAATTAGTCTCGGTCACGCAAATCCACTCGAGTGCAACAAGTTTCGCTCGTAAAATCAGAGGAAGAAATAAGATAAGAAAAGAAGCACTCATCGCTTCGTAAGAAAGTACTGTACCTTTTAATTGTCAAAGAATTCATTTCTTCTTTTCAAGTTCTCAAATTAATTGTCTCTGCCTGATAAATGTTATTGTGTTTTAGTGCGTTTTGATTACGAAATATTTTGCCATTCAATACTCTACTTGACTTGTAATTTTTTTTCATCTGAATGACTCCTAAAGTATACTTACAGCCACGGAGACGCATCACAAGAAGTCGATAAGACAGAAAACTCCGATGAAACCAGCGGGGAGCTATTGCAACAACAAGCAGAACATACAGCGACACTCCATGATGTGCTCTTGTATCTAACGCTAGCACAGCTTGTCAGTTGGTAACTAATAACAAAATCATCCTGTCGATATAAGAATTTTTTAATTAAATATTCGCATTTTCTTCGTCTCTGCATTGTCCGTCTGACTAAAGCCAAAGTGTACTACTTACATTCAAAAGTTGTTTCGATTTAACGATTTGATGAGGATCCATTAACCAATATTGCATAAGTAGTTGAAAAAAAATGTTTTAAATAGACTACAGAAATTTTAATAATATCTAACTTTTTGAATATTATTTTATTTAAGAGATCGGATCTTAATGTTTTGAAGATCATCTCGAACGAATCCAAACTTTAATTCAATAAAACAAAACTTCCAATATATTTATTTATAAAATATGTATGTTATCTTCAAAAACTTAAGAATACATTTATTCCACACATTGAAAAAGTCAATCATATCATTCATCGCATAAAATCAATAAAATAAAGGTAATGAGGTAACAATGAGCATTACAAATCTCCCATTACTGCGACAATTGGCAGAGCATAGCGACGCCACGCTGTATCCAATGCTCGGACGGCTTGTCAGTTGGCAACTTCATGGCTATGACAAAGTTCGTCGAGTGGCCTGTTGTGGAAAGTGTGCCTCGTCTCTCGCTCGTCTTGTATACCGGGCAGTTGTAATCAGCTCGTTCTTCAACGTCGTCTTTTTTCATTGGCACCAACCATAACTGATAAATAGTACGATCGACGGTGAATTAAACAAATTTTTTTGTTAAAACATACGGAATTCATCTTATCATTTTCTACTGCTAGAGCACTAACAAGTTGTTCAAATATCTTGATATTTTTTGATAAATTTACAGTTGATTGTTTTCTAAAATCTTTGTATGTATATCATATGACGATACTGTTAAACATCATCGAATTGAATGCATAACTGAATGAAATTGTTTAGTTTTGAGATCAAAAAATTAAAGCGACCGAACAAACTTTTATTTAAAGAATAAGAATAGGTACTTGAAGTTTGGTTTTTTTCATTTAAAAATTTAACTTCTCTCCATTGAATTTATATATTTTTAACCGAAACGATTGTGTTTTGGAAATGTAAATATTACGAAAGTTTAACAAAAAAAAAAAAAAAAAAAAAAAAAAAAAAAAAAAAAAAAAAAAAATACATTAATAACGATAGGTAATTATGCAAAAAAAAATCCTGGTAATCTCGAGATAGACCAAAATTTTGTGCGAAAAATCAAGATAAATACTCTAATATGCTCTCAGACATCGAACGCAGTAAAATCTGTGAAACAGCGTGTCATTACGTGCGGCATCTCTTCGTAGAGGACCTTCGGCAGGGACTCGTCGAGCATCATCGTGTCCCGATTAAATCGCGCCCCGTCGAGGAACAGACCGTAGATGTACACCCCATCCTCGGGAGGCTTCGTGAACTCTGTTTCCTTGAGCGGCACAAAGTCGTAAACCAGCAGATCTATCGGGATGGAGTGCTTGCGTGCGTAATTTTGCCGAGCTCCGGTCAAGAAGGCCTGCGTAAAGTAAAACCCCGAGAGCCAGAACGTCGTTGGTGGACCCTCCTCGAACCACGTCTTTGACAATTTTAAAAGCAACCAATTTATATTTCCGGCTCACAAGCAGGAAGTATGATATACTTGAATGTAAGAGAAAAAACGGAACCTGTAAAAATTGCAAGCGATCCAAAAAGTCGGAGACGTAGCTTCCGAGACGCTTGAGCGACGGATACGAGACCCTGAGCCAGAGCTCGGGTACTCTGCCAGTGATTATCGAAGCGAAAACTTCCTCGAGCTCGGCGCCCATAACGACGAGACCTGTAGTAAAGAAAGAAAGTTTGTACCAAATTCAGGAGTGGACGCAGAGACCATGGCACTTGATTTCTCGCATAGTACAGTGCGCATAATACATTGTAACGGACGGTCCTTGTAATTGGGACTGTTACTATATGTCGGAGCAAGCTTTATTTTCGTTACAGGGTTTTTAATGACAGTAATTAAAAGCTTGAACAAGTGCATTACAATTGTATGACTTCATTCGTCAAGTGTTGCTTAAATTAAAGTTTCACTCTTACAACTTCAATCATACAACATTAAAGATGGATGAATTTTATTTGTACAATTTGTCCTTTTGCCATATAGAGCCTACAATATCTCGTTACTTTTTCCTGAGGGGATAGTATGAATGAAAATAATTTATGTAATAATAGATCCCTTATAAATACCGGGCGACGCTCTACTCGCCAACCATTAAAATTCTGCCAAGTCTTAGATTTTGCATTTAAAAATTTATTTAACAATACTTTTCAGACACGTTTAACATTGTATAAAAACTTGATGATATTTTCGTTAGCATTTTCTTATAGTACTCACTGAGTCCTATGCACTCCTTTTTTTTGTTCAATAAATATATGCTTCATCGGTTTCATGGACAATGACAGTTTTCATTTTTATTTTGATGATATCATTATATTATAGTAACGATTCATCATTTACTAAAGTGAACTTGACATAACAACTATGTTTTTGTATTAATTTTTTCAACTATGTTAAGGACGTTCGGTAGAGATAGCGGGGGGGAACCACTTGCGGGGCAAGGGGGAAGTAGCGATGAGTGAAGACTTGGCATCGTCGCGCGGGTATCCAATGTGTGAATGTTCATGTACACACATCAGGTGGTGTGCAATCTGCAGTGTCTGCAGTGTCTGCTGCGTTGGTTACGGCAGCGTATGTGTATATTTGTAATGTATTTGTGCTAAAGATGTAAGTATTTGATTTTTATTCGTTATAGCAATGTAATAAAAATGAGTAAATAATTAAAAAGACTTGTAACAGATATATGTACGTACAATTATATTCGTAGCTAATGTAAATAAAATTCTTGAATTTTTATGTGACTTGAAAAGTCTCATTGGAAGTGATATGTTAAATAATTAGGACATACTCTAGTCTCTGCGATTACTACGAGCATGTGATTTTGTTATCTTGTGTAAAAAAATTGTATTGTATAAAAATTACAAACCAAAAACTTTATTAAGAAAAACAAATATGTGTTATTATAATACAATGTTTTGTTATGGGTACGGGTGGAACCTATGTACATACACTCACACACTTATATAAGCTTATGTTATATACAGAAATACATAAATATCTACCATAATATTTAGATATTTACTGATTTACGTCCTGGAACATTTTGAATTTCCCGCTTCTTGCGCCGTTGCTGTTGCGTTTCGTCGAGCTATTATTTAATTTTTTTATTCATAAACCAATCAGACGATCGTCGCAAAACTTTGTGTACATATAGTTAATAACATTATCTGTGACATGTAAAAAATTGGAGACATTCATCACGCCAATTTTTTTTAAACTGAGTTTTTATAAGTTTCCCCATAAGCGACCATGTTAAAATGACTGAACTTGAAATTCAATATCTCGGAAACGAAACAGACGAACCTCTTGAAATTTTAACAACTTCATGGTAACAACAATAAGAACGTCTGGTTAAAATTTCAAAAAGATTCATCACAGGGTTCTATCTCTATCGAACGTCCTTAAAAGTTTTTTTTCTGAGAGGTAATTTTTTCTTTTTATTCCTGAAAGTCCTTGTCTCTGTTTTTGTTTCTTATTTTTTTATGAATGAATTTTCAGTATCTTATTTTGTATGACTCTTTCTTTATCATCTTAGTAACCGACTTTCCGTCACTGTGACTCGTAATCTTAGCCACTAAACCTTTTTACTAAGAATAATATTTGCAATTTTGTCTTTGTATCCGTTCTAATCACTGTCTCTGAGTTTTCTTTTTTTTTTTATGGAGTTACTTTAAATCTTATTATTTTTCTTCTTTGGATGTCTTTTTACTGTTACATCTCTCAATTGAAAAACCTGTTTTATGGTTGTGTTTTTGTAGCTCGAGATATTCCTAATCCAATAAAAACGGCCGACAAAACAAACGAATTTTTTTAAATTTTGTCGTAAGGTGTTTGAGGGACTGTGGAGGAGTTGTCAAATGCCTCACCCAAATTATTGTATGATATAGAAAGATGTTTTTCGTATTTTCGTATAAAGAAAAAAAAAATTAATAGCAAATTATTACTTCAGAAGATCGTATAAATGCACATGCACTTATACAAACGTACCTTTAATCGCCTTCTGTATATTGACTAAGCTGACGCGAATAGTTTGCAGAAGCTTATTGAACCTGCCCATTTCTTGAACGAGCACGGTATTCATGCTCTGCTTGTACGAGGTTGGATATTTTTCGAGCGCCTCAACCAAGTCAAAGTCCCGAGGCAGCTTCGACAGAATATCCCCGGATATTGAGTATACGATCTCATCCTGGGATTTGCCGACGTCCGAGACCCCTGCCTCCGTGTCCTACAAATGAATGGTGAAATGCCTTCAACATCATAGAACTGTTTCTGCAGGGATTATTCATCGATTGATTTGACAATTTGACGGTATGTATTTCCGTGAAATGGAAGATACTGCGATTTTTACTTGAAAAAACTAAATTGGAAAATAGTTGAGTTTGACAAAAAGGTAAATGTCAGAGTGATATTGGCTAAACAAAAAAATAAGGTTGAGTTGAAAAGTATTATTTTAATTCTAGTGCGCAAAGCATTGACTTTGCAAAGAGTAAAATACGAAATAGCACTCAAAGTTGAAGTATTCACGCAAATTGTTGAAAAATAGTCTGCAATTCTCAAAGATTCCCAAGTGATCATAGTTGTTATTAATAAGTAAAAAAAATTCAATTAAATGAAAGGTAACCTTGAATTTTTTTTAGTCAACTTATAACTGTTTGAAAAAAAAAAAAAAAAAAAAAAAAAAAACCCCGGCACGCAAAATACCTGAGTGAGCATGATCGAGGATAGCATGAGCTCCGTCTCTTGCTGGTCCTTGACGATGTCGGCGTTGTCGGACATACCAAAGATCTGCGGCTCAGCAACCATCGGTAGCGACCTTACGTAATCCAGAAACTGTTCGTGTTCCTCGGCTCTCGGCACGTAATAACGGCCGCTCTCGTCCAACGCGTACTCGTCCCGCAGAATCACGTTCTCCGTGTAGTACTTGGCCAGTATGGTGTTGAGCGTGCGACGGTCCCACTCGTCGGTCACCCGGCCTCCATAATTGCACTCACCTTTCGACCCCCCCAGTGCACGATGTTAATTAAATTGCCTTCTCTCTCCCCCCCCCTCTCTCTCTCTCTCTCTTTCATCATTTGCTTGCATGCGGCAGCTGTACACTCAAGTCTCTCTAGCTTACGACGCTACGTGTATATTTATGTACGTGTTTACTTGAGCTTGTGTTGGTAGTCGGGAAATGTGACCTGAAAATGCAGAGCTCGTGTATTTACGAATTTGTACGCCTATTTGGATTTTCCGGCGAGTAAATGGTTTCGTCAAATATTCATGCGAGCGCTCTTTGTTGGCTTTGCCTGTTGGGAAAGCAGCGAGGAGGAAAACGCTTGCAAGACCGTCTGCGTGCTTAACATCTCATTCGAGCTCCGTTGGGAATTGAATTTCAAAGCAGGCTCCGACGATTTTTAAAGTGCTTCAACTGCAATTAAACTAGATTTTCCTCACCAAGTTCCGGGATGGGGGGGGGGCGGTTAAGATTGCTGTAGGCTCCTTGAAAATTCTATTCCTACAGTCAATAGGGGTAATTGGAAGTTTCGAGAAACTGAGTTTAGAAAGAAGATGTTTGGAGAACAAGATTGAGCTGTCTCTTAAGAACTCGATGCAGTTTGATTGGATTATTGATTTAAAAAAAAACTTTGTTACTTAAAGTAATGCAGTTTATGGATGTCTGATGAAAAATCAACAATTGCCACTAATTTTTCAGTTTACGTGGCTCCTTATAATCTATAAAATAATTATAATTGATCACGTCCAAGTAAATAAATAAATAGACACTCAAGTCTGACGAGAATTGACCATTTCTACTTTTTCTGCGATTCAGCTCGCCGCTAATCAGCTACTTGTAATCGATGTATAATTTCTACTTATTTGGAAATCCATTAAATTATGAAGTACTATTCTATAACATGAAAAAAACATTACGCCTGACCTAAGTTAACCTTTTCTACTTATTTCACAGTTTAATTTGCTGTTAATGATTTACAAAGTAATATTGAGTTTTATCACATTTGATATGAAAAAATAAAATACTTATGTCTGACGAAAATTGACCATTTCTACTTATTTTGTAATTAAATTTCCCTACTTATGATCTATAAATTAATGTTTTATTTTATTGTGTCCGATCAAAATTGAATATGTCAATTGCTGCTCATAATCAACCATTTATTCTTGTTATTTGATTCGATTTGCCGCACATAACCGATAAAATACTGTTGAAAGACGAATACGAAAAAAAAGAAACATTGATGCTTGAGAAAAGTTGACCTTTTCTACTTATTTTACAATTTAGTTAACTACTTACAATACAGGAATTGATGTTGAGTTGTATCTTGTTTAATATAAAAAAATGTTGATGTCTGACAAAAATCGAGTAGTTCTACTTGTTTTACAATTTAGATCGTCATTACTAAGTTACTTATAATCATATTTGTTGTAAAAAAAAGTATTACTGAGTCCAATATAAAAAAAAGTTGATTGCTAACCAGCATTGATTATTTATATTTATTTTTCAATTTGATTTTCCGCATATATCCGATAAAATACTGTTGGAAGGCAAATATGAAAAAAAAAAGTTGAGTTTAATGACGTCTGATATGGAAAAAGGAAATATCCACGGCTGACCAAAATCGACCATTTTCACTTATTTTGCAATCAAGTTTGCCTTTTATAAGCTACCTATATAAATATACACATGATAATAATAATATCGAATTTTATTATGTCAGATATAAGAAAAAATCGATTGCTGGCCAGCATCAATGTTTTAAGTTTATTTTTCATTTTAAAGTGCCGCACATATCCGATTAAGTACTGTTGAAAAACAAATGCATCTAAAAAAAATGCATTAATGTCTGACCAAAGTTGACCTTTTCGGCAGACTATGTTCAATGCACACTAGGATTGCGCACAATTTTCTTGTGCAGAAATTATTTTACACAAAAAATAATGCACAAGCTAGTGGAAAACGACCACAATTCTTGTCATTTACATTTTTGTGCACATTATTGAATCTAAATTAGTGCAGTTTTGTTAATAGACAACATTTCATCTAAATTTGGAAAAAAGATATACTAATATCTGACCAAAATCGGATTATTCCACTTGTTTTGCAGTTAAATTCGACGATTATAAGTTGCTTTCTTAGTATTGAGTTTTATTACGTCAAATCTAAGGAAAAAGTCCGTGTCTGACCACAATAAACGATTTTTACTTGTTGTTTAATTTAATTCGCCGTACATACCCGATAAAATAATGTTGTGTCCGATCAAAATTGAATATGTCAATTGCTGCTCAACTTGAAAAGTCTCATTGGAAGTGATATGTTAAATAATTAGGACAGAATCTAAAATTACAAACTAAAAACTTTATTAAGAAAAACAAATATGTGTTATTATAATACAATGTTTTGTTATGGGTACGGGTGGAACCTATGTACATACACTCACACACTTATATAAGCTTATGTTATATACAGAAATACATAAATATCTACCATAATATTTAGATATTTACTGATTTACGTCCTGGAACATTTTGAATTTCNTAGTATTGAGTTTTATTACGTCAAATCTAAGAAAAAAGTCCGTGTCTGACCACAATAAACGATTTTTACTTGTTGTTTAATTTAATTCGCCGTACGTACTCTATAAAATTATGTTAAAAGCCAAAATTTGAAAAAGACACATCGATGTCTGACCAAATTGGACATTTTCTACTCATTTATCAATTAAGTTTACCGCTTGCAATCCATGAATAAATATTGAGTTTTATTATGTCTGAAATAAAAAAATACACTCATGTCTGACCTAATTCGGACAGTTCTACTTGTTTTCCAGTTTGGTTCGCCGCTAATAAGCTTGTCATAATCATATATGATCTATAGAAGAATTTTAAGTTTTATTGTGTCTATAAGAAAAAATGTATCTAGAATCAACGATTTTTAATTGTTTTTCATTTAATTAGGTGCAAATAACCCATTGAATATTGTTTAACGATGTGGAAAAAGCTATTTTAACGTCTTACCGAAATTGATCTTTTCTACTTGTTTTACGATTTAGTTTGCTGTTAATGACAGGATAAATAATATTGAGTCTTATCGTGTATAATATGAAAAAACTGAATCTTATAATTTTTAATACAAAAAAATAAATTTTATAAGCCTGCGTCTGACCAAAATTGAATATTTCTACTTTTTTGCAATTTAGTTTGCTACTAATGATCTATAATATATTATTTAGGTGATGAACAAATAAAATATGAATAAAATACCGATTTCTGACCAAAAGTAACCATTTCTAGTTTTTTTTTTTTTTTTTTAAGGACAGTAATACATTTTTTGATGCGAACAAAAATCCTATATCTGTAAACGACAACCTATCGTGCAAGCTATCAAAACAAAATAAGAGGGGGAAAGAAAACCCATTCCAAAGCGAAAGGGTCGAAAAGTCCATTCGCTGCATGAACGCTACTCTATTTTTCCATGCAGCTTTCACATTGCAATACAAGTTTCGATGGAGTTTTATCGAAAATAGACTCTTTCATACGTGCAAAGCAATACTCTATACATGCAGAAATAAATGAGAAATTCCATAAAAATCACCTGCTATGTCGTTTTCAAAAAAATGCTGTCGTATCGGATTTTCCGAAAGATTTCTCTTATTTAAGACATACTAATAGAAACAAACATTGCTTACAAATTTATAATATAGGTATTTACCTGTCAGATATTTCAAGGCTGCAAACTGAACGTCCTCGTACTGGGCCAGAAAAATCTTTAGCTGGAGGGCACTGATGCGGAGGTCCGTTTCGTTGAATTCGTAGCGATTATTCCTTGAATTATTTTTTAAATAGTTAGTTGTATAATCATAACGATAATCTTTATATTTATTACCAGCCGATTGGCCCAAACTTCCGACGCTCCTGCACAATTGCGTGGAAAAAGCAGAGGGCAAAGAGCAACTTTTTAAAGTTGTCCGTCTGCTTTGGCGCAGCGAAAAATTCTGGATCGCATATTGGGTCCTTAAACACAGTTTAACGTAGCTATTCACACCGTAGTAAGAAAATCATTCACTATCGTCTCAAACGACTCACTTGTAAATAAGATCGTATGATATTCGACCGCAAACCAGTCGGAGGTTCGTTGGTCATTTTCACTCCGTTTTGCAGAACGCTGACCGGAAAGTGCTCCGAAGGATAACTCGTCAGCCAGAGCCGGAAATCCGGGTGGACCGTCTCAGGAGTGAATTCTTCGCATATCTGCACGACACATTCACCTTAGCACATGTTTATAAGATTGAGAAAATAGTCAGACCCTACGAACCTTTTCAAGAGTGGGCATCCAACTCTTAGCCAGGTGGCAATTCTGTAGGACGACCCAGGTGCCATTTTTCATGCCCTCATCGATCAGTCGGACGGCGATCGGTCCCTGGCCCTGACCCAACGACAAGGAGCTCAATCTGTTCCCCCCAAAACCTTGGTCATCCGCGAACTTGAGTAATATGGCCGTCGGATCGGCACCCGGAGTCAGAACGAATATCAATGGTACGCAGGAGTGCGAGTCAGCGTACGAGGAGACGAGGTCGAAAGGTGGCGATTCCACGTACTTTTTTCCCATTTCCTCTGAATTTATTTAGGACAAGAGAGTTTTTAAGGCTTTAATTGCTTTATCACCAGCTGACAAAGACAAAAATGCAAAAAGCAGTTTTTGATTAAAAAAAACAAAAAACAAATCAGTTTAATAGAACCACATATCCTCACGTTCGCACACAAAGACATTTCTTTACCCTCGATAAACATCTGAACACCGGGAATGACTTTGTCGTATCGGAGGCAGCGGAGGACGAGCAATTTCTCGAAACGTGCAAGCCCGTCGAACGGAGCGGGAAGCTCCAACGTGTGCGGCTCTCTGTGATCAAAAATGACTTTCCATTCCTCTGCGAGCGTTCCCAGGGCACCCTTTATTCCCTGATATTGAAAAAAAAAAAAAAAAAAAAAAAAAAGAGTAATTATTACTCTGTACCCTCTATAGATTGTTATAATATACCGTAATGTATGTATGCATACCTTGAAATCATCGTGCAAATCGTCAAGCCTGCATATTTCATCCCAAGACTTGTTCGGCAGCCACTTGGTCGGATTCGGATGTGGATTTTCGAGGCCGACACCGCCGGTCAGAAAAAACATCCACTTGGACGAGGACATCTTGCCTTGCTTCTCGAGCAAATTGACGAGCAGTATGAGGGAGAAGAGTAGCTTGTCCTTCTCAAAGAGCGACCGGCAGATGTTGACGTAGAGCGAGTACGTGAAATGCTTGCGCAAATCATCGAGCCGCTGCTGGATGTCGTCCACGGGCTTTGTGTTATCGATCGTGTTCTTGAAGAGATTGACGAACCATATGAGAGAGTACTGGTACATTGGATCGATGTTGGCTAGAGCAGCTAGAAGGGGGGAGGAGTATGATAGAGCAAGGGTTAGATGAGGGTGTAGTAATGTTACATTTTACCTATGCGCATTCTCAAGAGAATGTTGCGTAGACCTTTTCTCTTGGTTCTAAAATGTTTTATTTTTTTTAGGTGATGCAAAAAAAAAAAGAACCTAATTTTTATTATTTCTCAATATTCTACACAACAGAATCGAAAGCTTATCCCATTAGGTTTTGTAGATCTGAATTGATATCGTACGTCTATTGAGGATAATAAATGAATACTGTATACAACGTGCATACTCACAACTAAGTACCAATACGTAAAAATCATTTTAATTTATTTCATGACTCCGCAGATAGTTAAAAGAAAGATGTTGCGGATGAATTAATTCAGTTTTTTTTGTGTGGATTGAAAACGTAATAGGGTATACTATAAAATTTAGTTATAAAATTTGTTGACACATCACAGCTCAATAGACTTGTATTTTTATGTAAATCAATACCTGCAGCGCCCGAAACTGCATTTTTATATTTTATAACGAGTATATTTGGACATTTACCGATTGTGAAAAATAAAACGGTGCTGTAAGTGGCGATCGATGTGTATTGCAATCTCGTCTCGTCGATGGACTTCTCCGTAATTTCCGCAGTTGCCTGCTTCGCTTCGATCTCGTTCGAGAGCGTCTTCGAGGAGCTCAGCACACTAATTGCAGTTTGATCTTCCAATATGTTCTCATCGGATCCCGATAGAACCTCCAGTATTTTGTCCTCGATTTCCTTCAACGTTCTGTCAATACACATTTTTCTCGTTACTTTGAAACTTTATACGCTCATCAATAACGGCATTCAATGATAAAAATAAATTACGCCACAAAGGCCAGCGAGGGACAATATTTTTTCTACATTTCTCGTTTTCGTAAATTAAATTAAATTGCCGCTACGTTACATCCCTCACAGGATTAAATTACACTCAGAGAACCGGATACGCACTTTTTATTTTCCGCCCCTTGCACGATCAATTGATTTTTCTCAGCCTCTAAATCGGGCCTTTCTTTGGCGACTACTATACCCAACAGTTGGTCCTCCAACCCATCCGGCGTTATCATGAAATTCAACAGTGTCACTTTCACGGCAACTTCGGGCAAGTAGTGCGGATTTCTTAGCTTTGTCGTTATGTAAAATCTATCGAAAAACGTATAAAAATAATTCAACTTCTTATTCACTCGGGGAAGAACAATGTAAAAGTCGTCACCTAAACTGGTCGTTGTATTCGACGGTCGAGTCGCCCAATTTGATACAAATAGCTCCGCCAGATTTGAAAGTCTGTTTAAGCAGTAGCGGCTCCAGTGCCGCGTCGAGTTCCTCGCCGACGTTCTCCAGTAACACCGGCTGTCCAAATTGAATGGCGTTCTCCAGCACCCTCATGTAATCCGGCTGGGTCAATCTGATGACGTGTACGTTGGCCCTCTTTTCCAGATTCTTGACCCACTTGTTGGCCTGGCCTTGGGGATCTATCATCAGCGGCCAACGTCTAGAGTTGCTGACTATGATGCCGTTGTCGACGGAGAACAAATCGGTCGGGAGGCCGAATATATTCCACGACCGGATCAGTACTGGGTTGCCGAGCACTTGCGTCAACTGAAAGTCCGGACTGCACACGACACCCAGATTTGTGCACACGGCCGTCCAGTGGTCGATTTGCTTTTGACGATACTGGGCCGTGAAAACACCCAAGTAGGCCAAAACACCTGCACTTATCAATACGTCCCCGGTCAGTTTGTAGTATCGAGTGCCCAGTGACTTGGCGATATCGGACCAGCGCGTGTACTCGCCGCCAAGTCCACCTTGAAGGAAAAAAAAAAATCCAGACGTTAAAAACATTCTCGTAAATTTCAATGAGGGATTTCCTCGGAAAAATTGAATGATTGCATACAAATATGTGCGTACCGATCAGTTCTTCAGCTCTGCATAGCTTTTGCTGGCACTCGGCGACCTCGTCTGTCATCCTCTGATAGTCGTCTCTACGTACAGCCAAAAGTTTCTCGAGATTCTCGACCTTTTGCTGGACCTCGCGAAGTTTGGCCCGCTTTGCCTCGACACCAGCTATGGCGTGGGCATAACTGGCCTTAGCTTGGGCCAAAGCGATTTTTTTCGGAGCTACGACCTTGGCCACCTTGTCGTACTCGGACAGTGCGATGACCCACTTGCAAAGACCCTCGCAGGCCATCGACGCGTTGCGAATTTTGTCGGGATCAAAGCTCGGGTTGGTGAGTATGGTCGAGCGGATCTTTGACACTATGCGCTCGGGTATGTTGTCCTTGTCGAAGGTGAGAAGACTGTCGAGGAATCGTATGTCACCCAAAACACGCAACGAGGGTTTCCAGTAGTCCTCGACCATCATTCCCGATTCGTTGCGCACTCGATCTGCTTTCACGTCCTGTAGGCGATGTTTTTACGATATGAAAAATCACGTTGGAAATAGTTTTTTCATTTCTCTTTTTTTTTATTCAAAGCTGTGAGTAAAACCAACTTTTAGAATGCATATGGCCTCCATGACGAGTTTAACCCCTGCCGGAGGATTTTTCATCGTCTTGACGATCTGTATGTCTTGAACGGTCAAGGTATTCAACGCGTCATTAGCAGCGTTCAAAATCGGCAAAACTTCCTTCAGATCCGCGTCGCACTCTGCCTTTATGGCCTCTGCCGCGTCTGCTGCTTCCTGTATGCGAATTTTCGATTCAGACTTGTTGTATAGGAGTGTAGAAATAAAAAAAATTGGAGAGTCTCTTTGATTACCATTGCAATTTCTTCGTCATGTTTCACGATTTTTTCAATCTCGGCAACCTGAGCAGTTTCCTTCTCGATATTGGCCAACACTTTTTCCACGTCCTTCGTGGCTTCGATCAGTTTCGGCTGCAACGCGACGAGGGTCCCCTGCATCTTGCCCACCTGCACGTGAGCATTGTTGAGCGATTCCAAGCCAGCTTCATACCTCTTCTTGTTGTCCAGCACTTCTTTTCGCTTCTGCGCCAAAATTTTCTCAAAGGTACTGATCAATTCCAAGTACGAGGTCGGCGTTACGTAATTGTGTCGCTTGGTGCGCGTCAAAAAGTCTTTTGACAAATCCTGCGTCGATGTATGGAAAGTCTGGCACATCGAGATGCACGCCGATCTTTCGTTATCGGTAAGCTCGATGTTGCCGAGGAACTTTGTGGCCACGGCAACCAGAGCATCCTCGGGCCACGGCTGCAGCCAGTCTATGGTACAGCAGTTGACGAGGGCAGGAAATTTGCGGATTCGAACGCGGAAGTTGTCGCCGATCGGTGACATAGCCACGACGATGTGCAGCTGCTCTTTGACGAGCTGCACGAACATATTGTAGAGCGCGACCGGTGAGCCGTCGGTTTGCAGGGACTTGTCGCGTTGACGGTCAATTTGTCGCATCTTCTCGCATAGATCGACCTTTTCGTCGGTGGCAAACAAATTTGGAATCTCCCCCGAGTTGAGCAGATTGCTAATGTCTTCGAGGAACGATTCTTCCTTGATTTGAATATCGGTGAACAGGAAGGTCGTGTGCAAGTCCGAGGACACGGTCTTCCGCAGGATGTCCTTCATGTCGTCGTGCCACTCGCTGACGCCGTAGAGTTTCGATATTTCCACTTGGAACACGTCGTAGTCGGCTATGTGAGCGGCCAGACGCGTCAGCGACTGACGGCCGGAGCCACCGACTCCGATGAGTAATGCGTGGCTTCTCGACTGCATCATGATTCTGCTGATCTTCGACAGGTGCTCGATTGCGAATCTGTGAGGTTTCACGGTCGTTTTGATGGCCATTTTGAGAACATTTGTCGAGAAACTTTGAAGTTATTACCTGAAAAGCACCAGGTTCATCGGTTTCTTCGAAATGGAATTATACTCCTGCAAGTACTGATCGACTACCAGCGCAAGCTCGTCGAGATTTGGAACTTCAGTGTACATCTTCGAATCCGCCAAATTATCTTGAAAATTGCAGTATATCAAGTTTCTCAATTCAAGCTCCGTTACCTGTAATTATTATTATTATTATTATTATTATTATTATTATTGTTACTTTTTTTTCGCCTGATTTTCACCGAAAACACGTATAGATCGAGGTATTACCGGGCTTCCGGGTTCGTTGACAAAGTCACCAAACAACTTATCTAAATCTTCGTTCATCTTGTCTGCCAGTACCTTGCGAATGTACTCAACAAGCCAAGCAGTATCGGCTTCGTCCGCCAAACGATCACCATAAACTCGAAGTATCTCGTGAACCCACAATCTCTTCAAGATCCTCTTAACGAGTCAAAATAACGATTGTCAGTGCGAGTTAAATTAAAAAGTCAAATAACCGATTATATAGAGGGCGTACTGTAAAGAAATATCGTTACCAAATTGGTTGTCGTCTCGGGACGGCAAAGCAGTATGCCTTGAACGACTCTCGAAAAGTCTCGCAAATTGAACAAGTAGTGTGACTTTGCAGGTGTGGGAAGCAAAAACTTCAGCGCCCCCTTGTAAATATCCAAAGTTCCATGGACGACGTAGTCCACGTAACCAAGAAAAGCGGCTGGGAAGCTGTGAGTCTCAAAGTGCCAGGTGACAATTTTACGGAAAATCGTTATCATGACCTCGTCCTCGAACTCGCTGATCCCTAGCGTGAAGAAGTGCCTCTTGAATCGGGGAGTGACGTCTTTGCCGCTCGATGGTGGCAGCATAGCGCACACCGGCTGCATGTCGACGAAACGAATCACCGATGTATCTTTGCGATCGTACCACATCGCGTGATCCAGCCACTGGCGAAGCAGTTCGATCGGAGGTTGCGCGCCAAACTCTTCTTTTTGGGGAATCGAGACGTCATCGATGAATATCACCCAGTGCAAGCCTATATACTCATTTCATACTCCAGCTTAGATATACACGTAATTTATAGAATGGAAACGAACGTAAACGAAGATCACCCATACCCGGTGGAGCTCCGTAAATGCCCTTTCTTCGCTTATCCATTTTACTCATGATGATATCCTGAGTCTGATTAGCCGTCGTTTGCGCGGAAAAGGTGATGAAAAGCGGCTTGTAGACCTGAGGATCGTTCTTCTTGAGCAAAAACTCGGCGATGTACGATGACTTGCCGGTACCGGTTGGTCCGACCAAGAGCACGGGTTTTTGATGCCGCACGAGCATCTTGAGCAGGTAAAAGTACCGAACGGTCTCCACAGTCGGTACAATTATCTGATTGACCGGGGTGTCTCGAGGAATCGGGGGAGCGCTTAACAGATCGTCCGTCCACAATATCCACTTGCCTTTACCTTCTTTTACATACTTGTAGTCGTGAACAAGGCCCTCGTCGGGGATCGGCGTTATGTAGGGCTTTCGAGGACTCATTATTTCTTCGGGGAGATTGAACTGCGTGACCATGTCTTCCGAGAGTTCGGGCTCCAGTAGGCCTCTGAACAAGATGCTGAACCTTTCGCGGTACTCGGTGAGGATGGTCCCACCCATCGACCAAATGCAAGAGAAGAAGAAACAACCCTGCAAGAACGTAATCATCGTCGGGACATTTGTACGGAAAAATACGTACATTGCAGTGATCGTACCTCGATTTGAGCCCTCATCTCCAAATCGGAAATACTCCCTACGTATTCTTCATTGTAAAAATCGTCGCAGAAGCAGTCAAACAGATACATCAGCGATCTAACTAGATTCGCGGCTTGCATACTTATCATTTCCTGGTGCATGAAATCAAATTACAACTCGATTATTTATACGTGGAGTTTGCTTTCGTTTACTTAAGGGTACAAATTTATTTTAACTTATGTATATGATTTAGAAAACATTAAGAAAACATTGATGACATTTTACTTAACGAGCTATCAGATGTTACTTTAGACTGGAATTAAAAGAAAAGCGCTAAACGAAATGTATTACTTTGACGTGACATCGTTCGATGAAATGCAGTAAAGCCGGGCAAAAACGAAGGAACATGTCCTTCAAGTGGCTCTTTATGTGGTCGTTGAAGGTCTTGGGCAACGTGTTCAGCCAAGATAACAGTAGCGGCTCCCACCCGAGGGAAACGGGTTCCATGTAAATCATCCCGCATCTAGATACCGTTGCTGGAGATGCAACCTGCGTAAGTATTCGAAGAAGGATAAAAAATGGTCAACCATAGTTTTCAAATGCAACTCATCTTGGCCCTCACTTCCAAATCCATCGGCTCGAAGATCAAATTCGTGGTGGGAGCCAGCTGTATGATCTCCCCGGACATCAAGCAGAGCTTTTTGTTGTCGTCCAGCACGGTATTCATGTTCTCGATCCAAATGGCGTCAACGGGGCCATCAAAGATCAGCCACTTTCTATTTTCATTGGCCGACGTTGCGAACTCTCGGTACTTGATAGCGAGGACCCCGTCCCTCCACTCGTGCGAGGCCGGATCGAACTGGCCGTACAGCTGTCCCATCGTTATCGATTTTGGGTTTATGACAGTTATCTCGACGCGGTGCTCGTCCATCAATTGGCGCTCCTCTATCAGACGCAGCGCTCCCGCCAAAACTCGGTAGGCCGTGGTCTTGCCCCCAAAAGGCAGGCCCACGAGCATGAAACCGTGGCGCACGATCATCATCTCGTAAATCTGCTGGACCTTCTTGAGGAAGAAATCGGTGCACTGGAGGTTCATTTTTTCGCAGACCTCGTGAGCACAAGCGTTCAGGTGCGTGTAGTCCGGAGTCGGCAGGACTACACCAGGAAACAGGTCCGAGGCGATTCCTGACCGAGTAAAATTACAAAAAACACTCTGCTATTTAGTCTGATGGTGCGTTTAGCGTTACGATGATAATCAATACAACGCACCCTTGAACAGTGGAAGATCCTGGCTGAGGAATTTCGGCAGGTTGACGTCGTTGATGCTCCGCAGTAGGAGTATGTCCTCCGACTCCTCCGGGTATTTGAGCTTCAGATTGCCAGCGGCAGTGAGGACCGATTTGACGGCTCGCATCCCGTAGTCGTAGTGGCACTGGCTGCTCAGCTGCTCGGAGCAGAGCTTGTACGCGGTGACTATTTTAACGGCCAGAGGCCTCCCGTTGTAAAACCCGTACGAGTAAAGCGTGTTTTCCGATATGAGGGCGTAGTCGGGCACCTGGGCGATAAACAATCCGATTATCCATACGGGCGCTTTTTTTGCCGAATCCCGTGTACGTACCATCATCGCTACCGATCGAAACAGGGCCTTCAGGTTGTCCGGTAGCTCCGATCTTCCGGCGTATCCGGGATTCATCGTGATGAATACGGCACACGAGGGATCGAGCGAGATCTCCGTGCCCTCGAATATCAGCTTGTCGGCTTTGGAGAGAATGCCACGCTGAATGGTCAGTATCTGCTGGGCGACAACGGACAGCACCTCGAGATCTATGCGGTTGAACTCGTCGAAGCACGACCAGGCACCGCACGACGCCAGGCCCTTGAAGAACTTGCCCAGGGCGATGTAGTCGAGACCGTCCGAGCAATTGAAGACCACGCACTGCTTGGCCACGGCCTTGGCCAAATCCTTGGTGGTTTCGGTCTTGCCAGTGCCAGCTGGGCCCTCGGGAGCGCCACCCAAGTGTAGGTTCAGGGCACCGAATAACGTGCGGTAGCAACGATCCGTCAGTGGCGTTATTACCAGCCGCGAGGAGTTGCCGAGGTACTCGTAACCGTAGCGCAGGTTTGAGTTTATCATGTACGTCCACATGTTCTCCTCCTGGTGATCAATTTATCACCAGTACAAATCGTATGCATGTGTGTCATGTCTTTATAGCAAGGGAAAGTAATCTCATGCAGTTTAAATGTACCTGCCAGTAATATCTGAGATGACAGAGCCACTTGAAATCGGTGTTACTCTCGACGGTTTCTTTACACAGACTTAAAAGTACGTCCTTTCCATGCACGTCCAGTGTTACCAGAGCCTCTGAAAAACCAATTTAAAACGTTATTTTCATTTACAATCAAAGAAGCTTGCGCGAAAAGTACATAAATCTGGAACATTTGCTACTTATTTTTTCTAACAAGTACAGGGGCAAAATCACTAACAAATATTTCTTCCTGTCACGTCAGAAAAAAAAAAAAAAAAAAAAAAAAAAAAATTATTAAATTACAGACATAATGTACGAGCCAATCATATACTAGTCCGGACAGAGAAGCGTCACTTATAATGATAACAATGAATATAAGTGGACCGTATACACAGCATCTACCAGAATTTCTAGGACCCTACGCGTCCGTACTTGTGTCCAATTCAGATTAAAACTTGCTCACCCAGAGTAACTCGATTCTGCTTGGACAATTTCCCACGTACGAGGAGAATGATGTCATTGAGCTCTTGCTGGCACTGCGCGTAGTACTTCTCGAGGCCTTGGAGCCCGTGGTTGGTCATGGCCAGCTCGATTTTCGTGGTCCAGTAGAGCTGGCCGACACAGAGGACCGTTTGGCCGGGCCACTCGAGCACCCACTCGGTGCGGGGCTTTTGCGGGTAGGCTTCGATTGCCTGCAACACCTTGTACTGCACGCTCTTCCGCATGTCCGTCTCGAGCTCGGCCAGCCACTTTTCCACCTGGCCGCGGGCCGCCGACGTCGATATCACGTCGCACAGGGCGACCAACTCACCCTCGGCCGAGCGCATCTCGTGCACGTTCAGCTCGTCGTCGAACGTCAAACGGGCTATGCCCTCGAAACATTTTTTCAGGTGTGGCTGAACCCTGCGACAATCATTCAACAATTCGGACGTTTGCGTTACGGACAGCCCAAAACGATGGAAAAAATTTTTACTTTCACCACATTACATGCGTGTTTAGAAACTTTTTTACAAAATAGAAAAAACTTGTTTACCAAACACTCCATTGTCGAAAAACTCCCGTGGTCGCTTACCTCGTTGGGTCCTTCGTCTCCGACAAGATCTCGAGTAGCTCGTCATTCGACAAAAAAAAGAATCTCGGAAAATAGACCCTCTTTTTCTCCAAATACTCGTTCAATCCCTTCTGAACGAGATCGAGGGTCGCGTGGTTCTTCTTCAAGCGATCCAGCATCTTGTCGATCTCCGCGACCGTGAGCACGTGAGTATTCGCCTCGACGGTTTTCATGATATCGCGCCACGTTTTGTCGACCGTGGCAAATCTCTTGCCCTCCTCGGGCATCTGTTGCTGGATGTCGGGGGACGTAAAAATCGGCTCTAGGTACATCCAGGTGGCTTGGACCTGCAACCACTGATCGATGATGTTTTGCAGCAAGTGAAGCTTTTTCTCCCATTTCCTGCAATCGAAGCTCAGTTAACGCGGGAACTAGAGGTAACAATGGCTCATCAGCCGTTGTGGAAAAGCTCACAGAATGTCGTCTTCGAAAGGCTTGATGTACGGAGAATTCTTCATCGTCATCGACTTGAGGATGTGGTCGTCGAGCGTGAGCTGTATGTCATCGACCCCGGCGACGACGTAGGTGCCCGTGTCTTTGTACGGGTTGATCGTGAAGTGCGTGTCGATCCAGTCCTTCTCCATCTTTTGCATGGTCTTTTCGAGGGTGTTCTCTTTGCTGGCCGCCTCGGAAATGCTCTCGAACCGGGCGATGTGCTCGTCGAGCTGCAGATCGAGGATTTTCCGGAGAGTCAGGCTCTCGTCGAACTTGACGGGAAAGCCAACGAGATCGGATATCTCCAGCCAGTGGCGTTCCTTCAGGCCCGGGTTGCCAAGGGTCAGCACCACCGGCATGCGCTCCTTGAAGCTTTCGATGCTCTCGCGCACCGTCTCCGCGAGCTTCCTCGGCTCCGGCTCGTGGAAGCTTTTCTCGAGCTTGTACATCGTTCTGCAGGACACATTCGTCAATAATATGTTGGGGCCAGAGAGCAAAACTCCATCTATCTCAGTTAATTATTTGGTTCAAAAAAAATAAGGTGACAACAAAAGTAAAATACAGATTTCAGACTACAACAGTATTGAATTTTTTAATAGTTGTTATACTGGTGATTATTATTATTTTTTCATTGTGAGAATCGAATCGAAAAACATCGAATAAAATTTTGTCAACGACAATAAATAATTATTTCGAACAATGAGTAATAATCTATAGGAATTTCCATCAGATTTTATATCAAATCAATAAGATATTATAAGTTTCAATTAGTTACAACTGATATTTTAATTTTTTTTACTTTTCATCGTGTCATTTATGAAAATGATAATGAAAATAATAACTGATAAGAGTTTTTTAATTTTATTCTCAGTCTCAAATTTATACTTTATTACTTATTGTTATTGATTTTTATCACTAATCATTAGTAGTTATTCGTTAAGGATGAAAAAATAAATTGGTAAACAATTTAGGTAATGATTACTCCATCCCAATTATAATGTTAATTCTACTACTATGTATCATTTGTCATGTTTATGAAATTACCTAAAACTTGTAGACACTTCACCATCGATTTCTTCGGGATTGTAGGTGCCGATCATCGACGTCATCCACTTTTCGTACTTGGACAAAAAGCCGCAAGCCACGTCGTAAAGTTTCTTGTAAGGCGTCAAGCGATCGACTATCTCTTTCCTCAGCGGGTACTGCGTGGTCTCCCAACCGAAAGAGTTTTCCTCCTCGTTGAACTTGTCGATTTTTTCCATCGCCATGACTAACTTTTTCTCCAAAATCTGGGCCTTCTTTTGATACCGAAATATCTCGTCGATTTCTCCCAAAAATTGGAACTCTTCGACTTGCTTCTGGTAATTGTCCAACTCGTCTTCGAATTTTTGATATCTCACTATTGATTGCAACAAACATTTAGCTTTTTTTCGATCAATAAATAAAATACACCTTGTTCGATCGATCGACCGATAAAAAAAAGTTCACCTCTCAACAACTCCTGAAACTCTTCGGTTTTGTTTTCAACGATTACCGCGTTGCGATCCAAAACTTCAGGCATCTTATGGTACCAGTGAAAGGCCGTATTATTGTTACCGATCTCCTCGTCAGTTAAAAGCCAGTAATCGGAGAGAAAAATAACGTTCTCGACGATCTCGTACAGCTTCGCCTCCAACTTTTTCAGCACCAAATCCTCGACTTTTTTTATGTAATCGATCAAATCCATCAGGGCCGCGGTGTTTTGCGGCGAGTTCTCGGCGTGCTCCGCGATTGCTTCGTAATCCTTGGTAACGCTGAGAAGAAGCATGACGCGACATATTACATTGCTTGCATCTACGTATTTTTTTTTATTTAAAATCCAATCCCATATTTTTACTAATAAATTGATCAATGTTTTTTTAGGTCGGCTTATTTCGTCGTTACCTCAGAACTTTTTCTTGATAATCCGACACCAGTTTGTTGAGTAGAGAATTTTTTAAAAATCCAATGCTGTCTGTTATCGTGAGCAAAAAATCCTTTTGATTTATTTCGAAGAACGGCGTGTAGATTACGGATTCGTTCTCAATGATGACTCGTCCTCCACGCTCGTGATAGTCGTGAATTTTTCCCTGGTACTCTTCGAACGGCGAGTTTTCGTCTTTTATGAAAGCTTCGACCACCCCCAACTCGTTGTCGTTAAAATAGTCTTTGTACCTTTGAAAAATTTATTAACACCCCACTCAATCTTTTTACACATCGATGAATCGTAAAAATCTAGCAAAAATAAAATCGTTCATTTAATTATTTATAAAAAAAAAACAGACCACCTATAAAAAGTAATCATAACAATTATTGTATACTATTAATAAATCTTTTCAATAGTTATTGTCAATAACTAAATTTTTTTTTCGTGTATAAGATTTCAATATATTATTTAATTCCGTGATTCAATAACGACAATAAATAATTTTTATGAACAATCCGTTATAATTTATAAAAATAATTATTGGCTATTCAAAAATTTCAATGATTAATAAAAAAAAACTATAAATATGTCATTCGGGACGAAAAAAAAAAAAACTGACGATTAATAAAAAACAGTTACTGAATTTCATCGTTAGTGAATCACTAACTTGGAAAGCCAAAAGGGACTGAATAATCAACTTGTTACACTGAAGTCCAGTGGACTGCAAAACTGATTTTATTTTTAACTTGATTATCATTATTTAAATAAATTTCACATATAACGATTGCAGGGCTATTTTAACTGCGATTCAATAAAGTATTTGTCATTATGTAATTATTGACGGTAAAACAATTTACCGAATAATGAGTAAATATTTTGTCCAGTGTTTCAGTATTTGTGTTGTGTAAGGTTTACTCCAACTCTCCTGTTGTATTATAATTAAAAAAGTATACAAGCAAATCTTTAGGTGACATGAGTCTCTGTTTCACGAGGTTATTCCATCCCCTTTTGTTTTACATCGATGCTTTGTTCTAGGCTCGATTAATAAAATTGTTTAGCAGTAAATTAAGTACTTGTTGAGCTCCAAAAGTTTCGATTCCAGCACTACTCTGAACCCCTCGATGAGATCGGCAACTTTTCTTTTCTGCTCGGCAATCACAGCCTCGGAAACATTTGGCTGCAAGGCAATCCACGAATAATGAATGACTATCTTTGTTTCAAAAGTCTTTAATTTTTAATGCATTTTCCCAACCCCATACGATTTCATTTGAAACTTCAATATCGAAAAGGCATAAAATTCTCCCATTTGCTCGAACGAAGGAAATTAAGGTTGTAAGTAGGTATACATCAGCCCACCTTGAGGTAAATCCGCGGACCCGACCAATCGAGATAAAGCTGGCTCTCGAGCCGCTCGAAGCTCATCACTGCCTCGCACATAACGTCGAGAACACTCCCAATGATGTCCTTGAAGTATTGAAACGGCGGCTCGAAGCTCAGCTCCCTCGACTTGACGACTACGTTGAGCTTGAAAGCGTTGTCCAAGTGCTACATTTTTCGGGGAGAGAAGAAATAAGTGTATCTGCCGTTACGCTTTGCATCGGGGTAATACGCATGAAAATGTTACCTGAATGTCGAAGATAAAACCAACGAAATCACGAAGACTGCTCTTGTAGATCGACAAAAGCTGGGACTCCATTAGCTTGGCTATGCAGTTGAAGAATCGAGCGAAAGCTCGCGAGTCGAGCGGACTCGGAACGAGGTTTTTCTCATTGTTCTGTAGGAACATCGATTATTGAAACCACACGCGCTCATCAAGTGCGGCATTTGAGTAATTCGAATGTAAATCGAGTTATTATTTAAATGTCTTGGATGAATTTCATATATGGCTTACTTTGTAAAATATGTCCTGTATGCCACTGAACCAATTATCTTTCAAGTATTTCACGGCGCTTTGGACTTGGTTACTGACAGTGCTCTGGAACAACATCAGGTCCCAGCTTTCGCTGTGCCTTTTTATTTCGTTTAGATCGATAAGCCGAAAATCACTGCAAACATATTAAATGACGTGGTGTGCATGCATCCACATTTCATGGTCGTTTCTTCATTTGATTAATCCAAGAATTTACCATAATAGATTTAAATCGGTGAAACTATCGTAACTCGCTAAATGTATATTCACCAACAGAAATTATTGTGTAAATTTTTAATTTTTTACCGATTCTTCACCGATTCGCGTAAAGAAAAGCAACGGCTTCAATTTGAGTATCAAAAAAAAAAAGTTTTCTTCGTGACGAGGAAAACAAAAAAAATAAACTCAAAATCGAGATGATAATTTTTTGAATTTTTTGAAACCTATAGCTACGCAAACTTTAACGAATAAATTCTTCAACTGCGGCCGTTCGATTTTTTTTTTTTTTTAATCTCCGATTTGAAGCAAAAGGGAGTTCAAAAAGAAAATAATTACCGAAAATCCCTGCTCCACAGGGTCCACGACATCTTCATGCAGGGATTGATCAAGTTCAAATTATCCCGGATTCTCAGGCGTCGTGCCGAGAAAATTCCCGAGTAATCCACCGGAAACTTTCTCTTCAATCTCCTCGTGAACATCAACGACCTTTCCTTTTTTTTTTTTGTTTTCGTTTGTACCACAAAAAACCAAAAAATCAAGGTATTATGGAAAAAAAAAAACCTCCGTTCCAAAGCCCAATGAACAAAAACACATGAGCACCCAAAACAACTAACCGAATCCAGCGTATGGCTGCAGGGCCCTTTCAGAGCAAACTCCACGATCGATCTCCTCACCGTGAGCACAAACTCCTCGTCGATTTCCTCGAGCAGCCTCTCGACGCACCCGGCGAACGCGTCCCTGTGTTTCCGCGGTACGAGCGCCAGTATCCGCTTGGTCCTCGCAAGCTCCATAGGGGCGACGTGCAGCGTGTCCAGTCCGTGTTTCACGTAGTGCTGGAAGCTCTCGCCGCCACATCCGGTCACCAGGTCAACGATCCGCCGGCGGAACTTTTGCCGCTGCAGGCGCGCGGACGTTGCTTTCGCGCGAGCTTTGCTTGCGAGCTTTTTGCGCTTCCGGGAGACCCGATCGAAAATATCCGTGGGTACGTCGACGACGTCGTCGTCCTCGATCGAGCTAGTTATGGTGAAACGCTGGGACAACGATCGCGGCAGTTTCAACGACCCGGTTGACGAGCTTTTCGAGGCGGTGCTCGAGCTGTCGCACAGGTGACTTAGGTACTCCCGGTACTCCATGGCGATGTATTCTTTCATGAGCATTTTCATTCAAATTCAAGCGGTTATTATTACGTGGGAAACCGATTCATGATAATAATTACACCGCAAAGCTTGTAAATTATGAAAAGCATCGTTTTTTTTCTTGGCAACAGGAAAAGCGAGGAAAAAATGTTTTTACAATACAATGAGCATAAATCGTTCTAAGAAGAGCTTAATCAACAAGTTCGTTGCTCGAACGAGGAAGAAAATTTATGTATACTTACGCCGAAAGCAAAATGGTCAAGCTCGATATCAAATTATATATCTTTGTTACGTCAGCCTGCACATGTGCGCCGTAGCGCGGATGCAGGGCCGCGCACTTCTGCCTTCTGCTCGCCTTCTGCTCCGAGGAAAAAAAAAATATATAGTCGCCGGCTGATGCTGATGGAGTGATGCGTGCAAAACCCTCGTCTTAATTTAGGTGTTGCAAATAACAACACTGCGTCAATTAGTTGAGAAAAAAAAAAAAAAAAAAAACTACTTCAATTGCAAGTGTACTTTTATGTGATATTGGTTGACGACACAGTGCTGTTGCGTATACTCGTAGGGAACTGGTGCTCAATTGCCGGATACAATCACACAAATGCGTCTACGGTGGGCTGTTTGAAAAAGGAGGAAATCAATTGAAGAGGCTCCAGTGCACGTAAACGTGAGCATACCCATAGCCATCATCATAATGTGATAGTGTATATACCTAAACATATCCACCTGAAAGCGAGACACGAATGCGGTCGCCGAAAAGTGGATTGTTTCCAAGCAACCCGAGCCATCGATTCGCGAGAGCGTCGTGGAATCCCCGCCGCAATGCTCACCGCGATTTCCTTTTCGCGTCTCTCCCTTCCCTTCCTCTTCTTCTGCACTTTAGTGATTCACACGCGAAATGTCAGCCAAACTTTTTTGATAGCTCAATTATAAATTCGCCCTCGACAGCCGCTTTCCTTTAGGTTAGGTCGCTTAACCCTCCTATGTCAGCCTTTGCTATCAGTCACTTGCAAGTTAATTGCAGCTTATCAGCTGTTGGCTCTACGTAACAAACATCACTGACTAGCTTCAATTGTTGTTTGTTTCTTGTTATTTATTTCACAGTTGTTTGTTGTATTGACATTCTCTGATCATTTTATTACAGATGCTTGCTAGTCGCTGTGCTCGTTACATCAGTACAAACCACGTTCTCTGGCAGTCAAACACCAAAAAGTCCTTGTTGGCTGAGCTTCGCAAGAAAACTGGATATCCCTTTATCAACTGTAAAAAAGCACTCGAGCTGCATGACAACGATTTGGCAAAGGTTATTCATTTTCTCCATCGTTACACAGCATTGTCTCGAGTGGTTACATAAAATGCTTAAATTTTGTATTCCCAGGCAGAGTCATGGCTGAAGGAACAGGCACAAGCATTAGGCTGGTCAAAAGCTGAAAAGCTGCAGGGCAGATCAACCTCTCAGGGTCTTGTTGGTGTTATTTTCAACCAATTCCATGGTGCACTAGTTGAGATAAACTGCGAAACAGACTTTGTTGCTCGAAATAAGGAATTTCATCAGCTGACTGATACTGTTGCATCAGCTGTTTTAAAACACACAATCGCCACAGACTCAAATGGCATGTACAATAGAACAGTTTTGGATGCAGATGCACTGAAAGCATTGCAAGCTCTTGATGGGAAATCTGTGGCAGACCATTCTGCTCTGGCCATTGGTACTCTTGGAGAAAATATACTAGTCAGACGTGCGCTTTGTATGTATGTGCCACAAGATACTGTTCTATTTGGATACTCGCATCCAACACCAACAGAATCTGGCTCAACTTCGTTTGGACGATATGGAGCTCTGGTAGCTTTCAAAACAACAGATGATAAAGAGACAATTGGAAAGCAGTTGTGTCAGCATATAATTGGTAAAGATTTTGTAGTATTGTTTTAAAGTATATTATTACGTTATCTACAGGTTTCACTTTGTTTTTATTTTAACTTCAGGTATGAATCCTACCAAGATTGGTGATCCAGAAATTGATGTGGAAAAAAGCGAGGACTCAGATAATGAAAAGATACTTATTCATCAAGACTTTCTGTTTGATTCAACCATCACTGTACAGGAATTATTGGAAGAAACAAATACGCAAATCTTGGATTTCGCGAGATTTGAGATGGGTGAAGTGGTAGAAGGACAACAGAGTTTAGATGCTGTTGAAACTGGAGGTTAAATAAATTGTTAAATAAATTATTTTTATTAACTGGAGCCCAACAATTTGTTATGTAAAATAAATGAATTGTTTGTGTAGCATTTAAGTATGCATAAAGAACTTTTACAATTGACTTTATTGTTAAAAAAATTCATTCAAACGAAATATTAATATTTTACTATATGTACAAGTATAGTTTATTTCTAAAAGTTGAAAAAAAGTGAGAATCGTTCGCAAAGAAAAAAGATTAAAGAAAAACAAATTTTCAAATGAGTTTTTCGTTTATTATTACTTCATTTATTCTTTGAGTTATCGCAGTGGTGATTTGCATTCTCCGTTTTTTTGCCAACTTGACAGATTTCCATAGCCACGTTCTACAATCTTTTTTCCACTCTCGTGCGATTTCATCCCAAGAATGCATGTTGCCCTGAAATTATTACTTAGGTTTCAATGTTATTTTTGTATATAAACTAATATGAATACCTGAAAATTAAGTATATCCTTTCCAAAGTAAACTATTTTATTAGAATTTACTTCTAGGGTTTTAAATTCATGCTCAGTCTGATTTGAATGGAAGAGATTACATATGGAACTGTAGCTTTTTGCCACAGGTAGATGTGCTTGTCTCTCGGCATTTTCACCATCATCACCAAATTCATCAAAGCTCACACTGTTTTTGTCGCAAATTAAGCAATCGCTCACAGAAGTAGTTCGTGTTAAATGCGTTTGATAATCGTCAACTGAAGTGTAAGTAATGCTCACATTATTTTGTGGATCTTGAAAATCACTATCTTCGGTCAAACTTTTGTCTATAATAAGCCAATTTAAACATGATACATTGTGTTTACTTAGTTTTTTTAAGTGCTTATTAAAAAAAAAATTGTTCGTCACTACCGCGAACTCCGGAATTATCAAATTTCCACTCCATTGATTTATCACTTTGACTTATTGCACGAAAAATGGCATTTGATTCTTAATTCTTACAAACCTGTCAAAAAATGTCCGGATCTATTGTAACATTAAGAGCGATTTTCTTCTTTTTTTTCAACATAACTTAATAACTTCGTTTGCTTCTTTTATTTTATTTATATACACACTACACACTCAAAAATGAAAACGAGCTTGAAATAGCCATATTTAATATTACAATTTTTTTAAATATTTAAATAAGTTCCAAAAATACTACTAGAAAAACTTAAACAGTTTCAACTATTAGAGAGAAACGCATGTATTTTATTACTATTATTATTTATTTATTTGATTTAGGGACTGGACCTCATACAAAGTACATTTTTATCCGAAATGTATGTATTACTTACATAATATAGATACGAATTAAATTTATTTTTTCTGCGGTGACGCTGCTCTATCTACAATAGCGTCTTTTAAGTACATTATATTTTCATATATAACAAAAAAATTAAAATTTAATAGCTTTCTTATTAAATAATAATAATAATAATAACACTTGAAATTTTTTCATGCAATAAGTACCATTGAAAATAAAAATAGTCACGGTATGATCGATGCTTTCTATTTTTTATGTTTTTGGAAAATTCGGTACATTAATTTATGAAAAACAACCACGAAATAAAAGCAAACATAAATTAACAATCATCGTATTATATTACGGAAAGTACCGATGATTTCAACATAGACTTGCCGGACCCAGAAATTTTATTAACAATATTTTCCCGATTTAATAATGCCTGGTACAAATATTTCAGAAAAATATATAAAGTGCCTTTCGCTTTATAATAGAGTTCCCTTGTGTTATTGTATTGTTGGCTGAATTAATTATTGATTTTTGCCTCCTTTTTTATACTTGAGCAATAATTTTTGAGAAATTTAATATTGATCCCACCCTGACCCAACATAGCCCACGTCCTTTTACACATCAGACATAAAGTATAGCAGAGGGTATATTGGGGGCAGGTGTAAGCTGCCCATGTAGAATATTGTAACGTTTGCCGTGCGCACAGGTGATGTGTTTATAATACATATATACGGCAAGAGTTGGTTAGCTGGTTAGTCGCCGGTCACGGCTCGCTGGCTGGAGTTCCGGGGCCCATACTTCCGGAGACACCTCGTATACCTACATCCCTAAATTATATACCTACATAATCACCTCCTCTCTCTCTCGCTCGTTTCACCTTTCCCTTTTTTCCTCCCCCTCTTTTCTCTCATGTGCGCGTGTGTATATATTTGCCCGTATGTACATGCGATCGTGACTGGCTGGCATTGTTTCGGACAACGAAAAAGTAATCGAAGCTCGTGCTGGCGGTGGTTGCTGATGTACTTATTCCACTGGTGGAGTAGGAATGGAAGGAAGCGGCACGCTTCAGTCTGCGCTTGGTGAGCACCGATGGTATACCCGCGAGTGCGATCGGCAGGGAAATCGGTACGCGCGATTACTTCGTTTTAAAGGGCGAAACGGCGATTTTTGCCTCATTTTTACAATCCATGCACCTTTTTTTGTTCCAAGTGTTAATCAAGAATTGCGATGGACTTTGAGTTTCGAGTTCTGCACGGGTGCAACTTCTTTGTCCGTTGATTTTTTCATGCTGACAGTGCCTTGGTGCAAATAATCCCCTTGGAACCATGGGATTTTTCAAACGGGTAAACTTTTTTTGTCTTTCACGGTATTAGCGTACCTAATCATTCTTATTAAATTTAAAAGTTTTTGTCGCTTGTCAAAGACTGTATAATATCGACCGGTAATAATTTCTTCAATTTTATTTTAATGTTCATTGAACGAATAGACGCGAAGTTCCAAAATAAATTGTCCAAATACATTTTCAACATAGAATTATCACGCAATTACTCTAATGTACCAAACAAAAATTACCAGTACGTATAATTTTTGGGTATTCAAAAATGACCTTACGCGTAAATTGATGTTTCATATAACACATTATTATTGTATGAAAGACAAAATTTCGGGCTTTTTAAGGTTTTTTCTGAAATAATGAACGGGTTTGTATAGGTTTTCGTTCCAAAATTTATGGTTTTACGATCAACTGACGATTGATGCCGCACGTAACTATTACTTACTCTTTGTAATATTCATACTTTTTAAAAGTAATGCAAAGCGCACAAATTCATACGCGATCAATCCATCGCGTTGGTGATAAAACTAAAATGATTATTTTCCATTAAAACATATAATTCAACGAATTTTTCAAATCTCCGAAGTACATAGAAGAGAAAAAATTGAAAACAACTCAAGTGCCGTCAGCAAAACGAAAGTGAATTTATGACCGTGCACTTAAACGCATTTACGGTAAACGACTTCGAGACGCGAGACAGAAGTACTTGCAAATCTGACGTGTATTCTTCATTTGACGCCTCGGTACTTGGCTCCGCAATTACGCCGTTATGCCTTTTTTTCACGAGAGGCACATAGAGCGGCAGCCACTGTAGGCTACGCCTTCCAACAAACGTGACAACGCGAAAGTGTGCGTGTAACATGTGGGCAGGCAGTTAAATTACGGGGGTTTCCTGTTGCCCGCGTTACACTAATTTTGTAGGTATAGAACAAAAAGTAAAAAAAGGACTCACTCGGTACAAAATGTCACGTATAATGATACATGTTTACTGAGGGAGCACAGGATGCATGCGCGATCATATAAGTACCTTTGATGCGTAATTTTTAAAAACTGACTTACGACACAATAATGGGTCTCCTACAATAAAAAATCGCTTTTATTTCCTTTTCTTTATGCATTATCAAACCGTATAATACATCAATACCACCGTAACAATTTAAAAAGTATCTTTTGCTAAATGATATCGTAAAACATTCAGGAATTAATCGATTCACAACGCAATTAACGTAGCTCTCGATAATCCCCGATTACGCGTGAAAACGTGGAATAATTAATAATACAGCCTCACAACAACACAATACAATACAATGCGCTTATCTTGTATCATATGTCTTATCAATCATAAATATATATTATACGTACAGGCAAAAACTATGAGCATTTAATAGTGCGATGAATCTACTCCCAACGATCCTTTGGACAGTTTTAACGATCGCGTTACCGATCAACGCCGATCGACTCGGGCCCTTTCGAACGAAATAGAAACGCCAAAGCCCATAAAAAAAACAAACCGAGGAGATATCAAACCGTTCACCTCCTGTCATCATCTCCCATCTCCCCCCGTGACCCATATACAAAAGAAAAACACGCGCGCGAGCTTCGGTCCAGTTACTCCGGAGTATGCCTGCATAATATTTCGTCCGCTCGTACATTAACACTGCACGTATATAAATGTACAAGTGGGATGAGCGCAAGCGAAAAAAAGCCCGGCGCATAATGCACGCGTCATGCAACGCCTTAAGAAACCCATACAGCGAGCGCCCGTATATGTCTTTCTCCGTCGGGGCTCTTTGTATAAATATATGTGTATACATATGCGCATCTATATTTACATTGTGATATTACACGGGGGAGTGTGCAACACGCGGAGTAGATGATGCATTATCCTCCTCGCTCGCGCGATATATTATAATGATGTACACGCGTGATGGTTGTTATTGTTGTTGTTGTTGTTGCAGGAAGGTATGCGCACTTGTGTCTTGTATCTCTCTCTCTCTCCACGCGGTGCGCTCTAATTTTGCGCGGCTCGCGTGCGTTACTTTTTTACACGCCTCGCCTATGCACATCTTTCACGGCTTGGACGTGTGTTAACCGCGATATTTTCTCGATCCGCTGGTTCTCTTCGCTTTCGGGAAGATGATCGCTCTTAATTGCAAGGTAATTTATGTAACGCGATTTATGGATCTACCGGGTCACGAGAGTTTTGCGGGATTTTCCTTTTTCCATGCAATTTCTTTTTCGTTTCGTTCTAATGAGCTATTGGAAAACCTTCTTTTTTTTCCTTTCGTATAAATATATTGTATTTCCTGGATACTGTTAATGATTATCTTTGTACTGAAAATTTGCAAAATTTTACGATTTTCATGATCTTGATCACGTACTTAGTTGTATCTTTCGTGATATAATTATCTTTTCAAGCTATTATGTAAAATAACTTTGAAAAACACCGAAAAATGAATGATTTACGAGTACATGGATATCGTTACTGCTGTTGTCCCTAAAATGTACACGTGGAGTAAAAAAAAAGAAAAAATCTCTTTTAGATCGCAATATCATTGTTTTAAATTACATTCATACACGCGAAGGTAAAAAAAAAAAGTATCCGGAAACAAGCCCCGATGATCCACTGAAATTGCCATTGTTGAAAATGTTTTCAGGATGACGCCAGCACGTGCTCGGACGAGTCGAGTAGCGAAATTTTCAAAAGCATACCCAAGGGCAGCACTGCCTTTTGTATATGGAAGATCGAGGTGAGGATACAATAAAAAGACATACTTACATCCATACACAGAACCTCGAGTGCCATTTTAATTATTATTATTATTATATACCAACGTGGCAAATCAATTGCGAAATGAGTACTCCCGAAACATTACTGTAGTGAGGAAAAAAAAAAAAAAAAAGTTAGCGCTCCAACATTTGTACTTATGTATTACATTACTTTCAGGGTATGCGAGCGATTTCGTTGGGCCGAACAAAGATGGGAACTTTCCTCTCGGACTCGGCCTATCTGATCTACGCGGCCTCGGCGCGCGATGGCCCGCTACCTTATCCCGGCATGCCCGTAAGTATACATGTATACACATAATTGCTTGTACTTTGTAAAAGTACAACTTTACGATTTCGCGTTCATTACTTTTTTACCTTTTGTTTCTCACATTAAAAAGTAGCTCATTGTAATATATCTATACTCACGATAAAAAAAAGTAAATTTGTCCACCAGTGACAAATACAAAATATAGACGTATATGCACCATATCTTCACAATAATCCATTTGCTCTTGCATCGTAATTGCGTCGGATGCGCTTCGCACACAACGCGCACCTCATACCGATCGCCCTCAAACAAAGAATACGAGAGCACCCAAACCCACGTCACACGTAACTCTCGCGTCAAAAAGAACAAGAGCAACAAAAAAAAGGTACCTACATTGCACGAGCAACGTACCCAAACCGCAGGAGCATCGTGTAACCACAAGCCCATCACACCTCAACCGGTGAGAAAAAAAAAAAAAAAAAAAAAAAAAAAAAGAGGTTGTCCAGACAAAAGAGCTGAAGGAGAGCCAGTCGGTGCGGGCCATCCACTTCTGGGTGGGCGAGCACTGCGAGGCAAGCGTCTCCGGGGCAGCGGCACTGCGAGCAGCCGAGCTGGACTCGCAGCTAAACTCGGGAGCCCTGCTGATGCGCGAGGCCCAGGGTCGCGAGAGCTCGCGCCTCCTTGGATACTTCAGGCAGGGTTACCTAGTGTTCGAGCAACCGCCGCTGCTCGACGATTCGCCGGCAGTCGTCGAGTGCTCGGCCCACCGGCTTGGAGGCACCGCGGTACCCGTGCTCACGGAACTCAGGCCCGTCGACTGGAGCAACTTCTCGTCGCGGGACGTCATTGTCATCGACGTTCGCGCCAGGTGACAACTATACGATTTCTCCAATCGGTGGCTATTTTCTACAGTATATATGCTATTTTCATCTATACGTTTTTTTGGTCTTTCGAGAGCTCGCTCTTTTACGTATGGAACAAATTTTTAAAAGTAACAAAATTCAAGTTACTTCTTTTTTTTTTTTTTTNTTTTTTTTTTTTTTTTTTTTTTTTTTTTTTTTTTTTTTTTTTTTTTTTTTTTTTCACGTTACCGATTTACCGTTAGTTTTGTTGAATACTTACGCTCAACTTGGTAAAACTGTACAAATTATCCCGGCAGTACTCGAATACATGGTTTAATCATTAAGAATCACGTGTGGTATACGACGAATCGAAAAGAAAAAAAAAATCGATTTCGCAGATCGGTAATCTTCCTGTGGCTGGGCTCGAACTCCGAACCATTGCACAAGAGCCACGCTTTGAAGCTGATAGACGAGCGCAAGAAAAACAGTAGCAGCAATAACAACAACAATAGCACCGTGGAAACGCGTGTCTTCGTCGTCGAGGACGGCTACGAGCAGACCCTCCAGCCGGAGGCTCGCAAGCTCTTCGACGAGATTCTCGATCCGAAGCGGCGCTTCGTTTCCCCGAAGCCGCTCGTCCAGGTAACCGGCACTTGTTTTTGCGACAAAATACAAAATACATACTTGTACTTTGAATATTTGAAGAAGAAAAAAAACCACAATCCCAACAGACCTACCTGCCCGCGAGCAGCATTAAACTGTACAAGTGCAACGAGCAGACGGGCAAGTACAAGGTGGCCGAGCTGAAATCCGGTCCGATCTTCCGCAGCGACCTCGAGAGCGACTCCGTCTTCCTGCTGGACCGTGGTGAGGCCGGCGTCTGGGCCTGGGTGAGTAAAACACTTGAGTCTCGTCCGTCTCAAGCTATACATATGTACCATGACTTGTATATAGTTGGTTGGTCGACATTCCAGGTGGGCCGAGACGCGAGCTCCAAGGAGCGCCTCGAGGCGGTGCGCAACGCCCGAGGCTTCGTGAAGAAAAAAGGCTACAGCCCGAGCGTGCCCGTGGGCCGAGCTCTAGAGGTAACATTCTGACAGCAATAGGTAATATATTAAAACGACTCGGTATACGGAGTAACGTAAATGAAAATGAAGGAGCACGAGCCGGTGGAGATGCGGTGTTGGGTGAGGGGATGGGCCGAGTCCAGGTCCAGGCCGCTGATGCTGCCCGCGAGCTTCGAGCCCGACTACATGAGCGAGAGGCCCAAACTGGCCGCCGAGTGCCAGCTCGTCGACGACGGTAGCGCCGAACGCGTGCTCTGGAGACTGGACAGCCGGACGGCTGAGGGGCTGGTGCTCGTTCCCGACGGCGATGGCCAACCGGTGTGCTTCTACGCCGAGGCTTGCTACGTGCTGAGCTACAAGTACGGGTACGGCCGCAGGAGCAGGAGCATCGTGAGTGGACCCTTTCTTTTTTCTACCCGATGAATGGCAAATGGTTCGATAGTTTCACAATGTCTCGCGTTTCGACACCTTTCGCAAAACGTCATCAATAACGATCTTTGCGCCTTCATTGTACATACAATCCACGTTTCTTCTCGTTGAGAATAATAATATTCGCGTTCGGATCTTGATTACAATCCCACGTGCGAAAAGCTACTTATAGTATTGAGCGTAACGTAACGATCGAAATTTCCTTGAGAAAAACAAAACATGGTCGATTTCACTCGTAAACCTTCATTCCGTACAATCGCATTAGGTACATAAAATATACAATTATGTTGTGACGAGAGGAGAATATTCTATTTATGATTACGTAAATATAGCATGATTTTTCGCCGATTGGTTCTATCGAATCATCTACTGTAAATGAGTTGCGCGCTTGTACTCTCTCGGATGCACTTATATTTTGGCTGGACTTTCTATTCAAGGTACTTACATACAAATATAATGAGCTGAAGCGCATTACGCGGTAAGTAATATACGTATATATATCTGCATTGCTGCGATGCAACATCCGCGCGTTTACGTGCATGACTGAGCATCTTTACCAATGGAGATTTTTTGGGCAATCGCGAGATTCGAAATATTTTCAATAGCTTGCTGTGTACAGGAAATTGAGGAAATTCAATATATCTTGAGAAAAGATCGCTCCTACCGTCATTCCTTTTCGGAGCATTCGAATCGCCACAAAGCTGATTCCTTCCGATTGTTTATACTTTGCCAACAATGTGTTTCTCGCTCATCGCCTGCAGGTGTACTGTTGGGAAGGAGTTCATTCGCCGTGCAACGACAGAGAGTTGGCAATCGAGGCAGCCTGCGCTCTGGCGGAGGAAGAGTCGGCGCAATTGGTGCGAACGTCGCAGGGCAAGGAGCCGGCTCATCTGCTGCAGATTTACAACGGCAAATTGATCATACTAGCCGGGCCCCATCGCGATGCTCGTAAGACTCTCTCCTCTACATAACACACAATTGTGAATTGAGGCCACATGTATACGCTGCGACGAACAATTTTTTATTGTTGTTTGGGTCTTGTCGATTTTTTTACCGATCTCGTTTTTGCCACAATAATATTACTCGTCAATTGGTTCATGACGTAGATACCTATACTTTCGATGCAAATCATAAAAAAAAATAAAAAAATCTTGTTTCCGTAGCACCCAAAAAGTATCTCGTTCGAGTTTACGGCTCGACCCCGTACACGTCTAAAGCCCTGGAGCGACCATTGCGCGCAAGCAGTCTGGACTCGGGCGGTGTCTTTATCTTGCACTCCAGTTCGCCCATGGTCTGGTGCGGCAGTCGCAGTACCGGCGATGCCAGGGAGGCGTCACGAAGGCTAGTGCCGATTTCGGTGCCCCTCGTTTGTGAGGGCAAGGAGGACGACGAGTTCTGGGCTCAGCTTGGAGGTACCTTTTTGTGTCGTTTATTTGCTTTTCGACGTCAACATCTTACAGAAAACCTTTTTTTTTTTTTTTTAATTGAAAAAAATCTGCGTATTCGTACATCAGCGATCGTTTGGAATTACGAGTTTTTCCGCGGTTTGCTGAAAAATTAGTTTTTAGTGTAAAATTTGAGAAACGTTTCGCGTAACAGGCAAGGGTATCGGCAAGATGGAAAGCTCCAACGCCGAGGGAGAAGAGATGGAAAAGCACTTTTACCATTTGAAGACGGAAAAAGAGATGTTTGTCGGCGAAGAGGTACTCGGATTCACGCAAAATAGTCTCCTACCGGAAGCCACTTGGCTTCTCGATATTGGAAACGTCATATGGGTTTGGATCGGTAATTACAGTGTCTCGAAACCCCTAAAGGATTACGTGCAGGACGCAAAAATCTTTCTCTACACTCATCCTGCCAGTCGAGATCGCGATACGATAATATCGATCACCAAACAAGGTAAATCGTCATCGTATACGTAACAATGATTTACAATGAATCTAATCAATTTCATACTTCGCTTTAGGTCTGGAACCACCAACATTTATAGGACTATTTGACAACTGGAATCATAATCTGTTAAGAGATTATCGGCCCTTTGAATCGCTAAGAACGAGCGTTCAAGAACGAAATGGACTAACAAACGATATAATGGCCATAAAAATGGCCTCTGAATTTGACAATTTCGTCAAGTATCCGCTGATACTTTTGAAGAGCGACCCCGATAAACTTCCTGCTGGCGTCAACGTTTCGCGCAAAGAGATGCACCTGACCTTCGACGATTTCATGTCAGTCTTCAAAATGGAACCGGCTGAATTTGAAAAGTTACCGGCTTGGCGACGCCAACGACTGAAACAGACAGCCGGACTGTTTTGAACCAACGTCTTTGTGATTTTTATAGGCCCACATTGCTAACATTGTATGTAAATTATGGCATAATTTTTATAATACTTACATAAAGAAAATAATATATTTGTATGAAATAAATTTTTATTGATAACCATGAAAAAGGATAAATATAAATCACTTTTATTGACCCTTATCTTGAACTTGTTAACTTATTAATGCACATAACATTTTCACGGCGAAACTTCCATACGTTCGGGCTCAATCGAGCGCACACTCGAATCTTCAACGATAATGGGCCTAACGGATTGAGTAAGAATCGCCGTTGTTCCCTTTTTAAAACGGTACGAGCCCTGCTTTACACCTTTTTGGCAGGTCAACTCGTACGGCCGGAGATAGTCGACATTATAGTCTTTGCGGATGATGCAGAGATCAATGCTGTTACCTGATCCTAGATCGTGCATTACACCAGCACGAATAGCATCAGCAACCAATGCTTTTCCTTCCTCTTCCTGTAAATTGAACACATTACATAAATTATTCAAACTAATGTAATATCGTGCATAATACGCATTAATTTAAATCAATACTATGTTAATTGTTAGAAGTATTTGTTCCCGAAATTTACAACATGTTCATTACTCCAAATTGTTTTTCAATCATAAAAAAAAAAAAAATATAATTTACCATAGACAGCAATTATCTGTTTGTTAATGCAAGCATCAAGACAATTCTTACTACACAGAAATACTCACAGACATATCTGGTTTCCACCTGCTTTCAAAAATCGACATAGCTGCCAGTGAACCTGAGCCCATTGTAACAAATGGCAATGTATCAACAGATCCATGAGGATAAATACAGTACAGGTGAGGTCCAGTGGAATCTACTCCTCCCAACACTAAAGCAGCACTGATGTGTCCTTGATAACGAAATAGCATCTGTTTCAACATACGAGCAGCAGTTACAACACGAGGCACCCTGTTAGTATTGAGACGATGCAATTCCAGCTGGCTGGAAATCAATTCTGTAGTGTTATCAGTGTCAGCAGCAGTGCCAGCACCACAGCAACTGTAACACAGAAACAATAAGACGCAATGATTCATGAACGAAATAATGCTCAAGCAATACAGCTAGCATACTCACTACATGTTCTTGGCGAGATAATGAATTTTCTGACTTTTCTTGTCAGCAACAATGGTGTTTTCAGTGGCCCTAGTATCGGCACCAAGAATCACACCATCTTTGTAGATTATACCAGCAATAGTTGTTCCAGTCTTTTGTGCCTGGGGAGCAGGGTAACCTTTCTTTGCCATCATGCCATTTCTAACAAATAAGAAACGAAAAAATAATGCATGTTCTCAAGTATACTTAATAAGTGACACAGCAGTATTGGAAAGTAGGGTTATGAATGGTTAAATATCTAAAACTAAACACGATTTCGTAAATCGTGATTATTTGACTAAAAAATTTTAATTCTTACCTATAACACAAATCGAAGGAAAATCCAGGACTTGGAATTTCGGGTACAAGCACATGTGCCATTTTCTCAATTTTTTACTTTCCAAATATAAACAAAATTGCCTACCGCTGTAGCTGTGACTGCTGTGAGCAGCGGTGTATAAGTGCATGTATATGTTTTATCCGCTTCTTGGAGTTCTTGCAGCCTGCCTGCCTGGAGTTTAAAGATATATATATATATATATATATAACTGAGCAACCAGTGCCATCTAGCGATATTTTTTTTCTCGTCTCGTCTTTTTGCAATTTGTAACTTGTAACAAAGTGACTTCAAAAGTAAAATCATTAAATCATAGACATACTTATAAGAACAGACTGGGACTGCACGTTCCTGATGTGTACGCCGCTGAAGCTGGAGTAATCAAACTCCCATATATTTCGATACCTTTAGAGATAGATTTTTGGGTGCTAAAAATAGGTACAAACTTGCCGCAAACGCAGACGACGTCTACTTTTTATTTTCTATCTATATCGTTAGTTGCGGCTGGTTTATAATTGATTACATGGCACTACTATAAGTATAGTAATAAATATTTGGATCAGCGCCATCTAGCGTTGCGGATTTCTGAGCTAAAAAGTGGCCCTAAACTTTTGACCCACAGCATTAGCGCTTAGAGCCATTTGGCTAATTATAAACCAGCCGCAACTCATTTTGTAGTTATAAAATCAAAAAATAATAGTACATGTGTTTTTGGCGGCAAGTTAACAATATATTTTCTACCAAAAAATTGACCTCTTATGTATTTAT